ATTTTGTCTACATAAGCAAGAAGGAATAAAACAAAATACATACAACACAAAAGTTACAAAGGCAAATCAGATTAAATATGAATGATTAAATATATTGCCAATCACATGTGAGCACTGATTTCCTGAAAAGTGAGTATTTCAGAAAGGACACCCCGCTGTTTATTCTCCCACTGTTCTATAGTTAAAGCCTAGATAACAAAGTGTGCGCCTAATTTTGTGAGCATTTTCATCTCGAATTTTGTAAGAGAAACTACAGAGTAAAATAAGGAATTATGAGTTCCCTGTTTAGTATTAGCTTTTTTGTCAATGAGAACCTTATGGAGAACCCCTCCAAACTTAACCTTATCTTAAGAGTTTCTGCCCTAATGACCTTAGCCTCTCCTTGACCTCAGCCATCCCTTTTCACAGGTGAACACTCAGTCGTGTCACCACACAGAGTTCTCCACCTCATTAGATGTCATTGTTCCATTCTCAGATGCAATCATTTCCTCTCCTAAGTCTTCTAGCCAATTATTCTCACTGTACCTGCCTGTCGACTTCTTTGGACTTTCATCCCTTGGTCCCAGCCATTTTCTCCCAGCCTATCAGCCCATTTCAGCTTCAGTTATGTTCCTGTGATCCTATGAATAATCAGCTTGATAACCTGTGCATCAGGATCTCCAGTTTTCTCAATCTTTTGCCCTCTTACCATAACCACCACGAACATAACCAACTCCCCTTTAATACCCCATTTCTCCACTGTTATCCCCAGGGTGCAGAGAGCAATTAGAGAAGCACACAACAATGTATTCTGCTGCCATCACAGTTCTATGATCTCCAATCTCAGCTGGACGGTCAACAGCAATCACATCTCTCCTAAATCATTGGCTCGTCTACTTTCACTACCACAACCTCAAGTGAGGCTACTTTTGTGCTTTGGGTGAGCAGACCTGCTCATATTCCCTCTCTCAGACCTTTTTAAAGACAAGACTGGTTGTCTTACATCACTGTGTCAGCCTATCAGTGACTAATCATTTTCCTTAGGATAAAGGAGATCTCCCAAGCCTTGAAATATAGACATATAGCCTAGATAGCCCGACATAATCTGACCCCTTATCAACACCCAGTCTCCCCGCATTAACCACAACAGATGTCTGTCCATTTAGCAAGCGGTCAGCTATTCCTGCCCAGGGCCCTGTGTGTGTGCTTCCCATGTCCCTTCGCCCAAAGCCCACTCACACTTCAGATCTCTCCTTAAGCATCATTCTCTTCTAAGAAGTCTTCCCCGTTAATAACCTGAATCTTTCCTGTAGAACAGTAATCAAAATTTAGTAACTGTGTAATTCAGGTTTTTTTTACTCTGTCTTCTCAACTAGGACTAAGTGGGGACATCCATGAAGGCAGGGTCTGTGTCTTAATTATTTACTGCTAGAGCTGCAGAAGTACACTGGTTTGCACACAGGTAGTATTTTTTTTTAACTGTGGTAAAAAACACGTAACATAAAAATTTACCCTCTTAACCAATTGTTAGTGTACAGTTCAGTAGCGCTATAACTATATCACATTGTTGTGCAACAGATTCTAGAACTTTTTCATCTTGCTAAACACACTCTATACCTACTGAACAACAACTTCCCATTTTCTCCTCCCCCCACTCCCAGGCAACCACCATTTTACTTTGTTTCCATGGGTTTGACTAGGGATACCTCATATAAGGGACTCATACAGTACTTGTCTTTTTGTGACTAACTTCACTCAACATAATATCCTCGAGGTTCTTCCATGTTATAGGATGAACAAGATTTCCTTCTTTTGCGGGCCTCTCACTGTTGTGGCCTCTCCCGTTGCAGAGCACAGGCTCCCGATGCGCAGGCTCAGCGGCCATGGCTCACGGGCCCAGCCGCTCCGCGGCATGTGGGATCTTCCCGGTCCGGGGCACGAACCCGTGTCCACTACATCGGCAGGCGGACTCTCAACCACCGCGCCACCAGGGAAGCCCAAGATTTCCTTCTTTAAGGCTCAATAACATTCCAATCACCACACCTTGTATATGCCACAATTTGTTTATCCAATTCATCCATCAAGAAACATTTGGGTTGCTTCTATCTCTTGGCTATTGTGAGTAATGCTGCAACGAACACAGGTGTGCAAATGTCTCTTCAAGATCCTGCTTTCAATTCTTTTGGATATATACCCAGAAGTAAGATTGCTAGATCACTTGGTAATTCTATTTATATTTTTTTGAGTAACCTCTACACTGTTTTCCTAATAGCTGCACCATACTACCTTCCCATCACCAGTGCACAGGGATTCCAAATTTTTCACATCCTCAGCAACATCTGTTATTTTCTGGGGTTTCTGTTTTGTTCTTTTATAGCGGACATCTTAATGGGTGTGAGATGGTACACAGGTAGTATTTTAAAAATATTTGATAATGTCCAGATATACAGATGTTACACAGATAAAAGGTAAGGCCTCTACCCTCAAGAAGTTCCTAGAGCAATGGGGAGAAAGACTGATAAACAAATAAGGTTTGTGCTAAATGTCTACATGACTGAACTGTCAACTCAATCCTTGAGTTGGGGGCAGGAGGGATGGTGATGGAAAACAGTCAAGGAAAATCTCACAGAGTAGGATACCTAAGTTGGATCTTAAGGAAGAGTAGACATTCAGATAACAAAAAAATGAGAAGGATATTCCAAATGTAAGGGATAGTATGTTCACGCAGATATAGTACGGACTGGCAAAGCTCCCCTTAGGAGAGAAATTTGGAGTGAGTTCAATACAGACTGTATGTGAGAGGTTACTGAGAAATGGAGGTAAAGAAGTAGACGCAAGTCACATGACCAAGATTGTAATTCACACTAAGAGGGTTAGACTGTATCCATTAAATGGTTTGAAGCCAATGAGTGCCAAGATGGGATATGCCTTCTCGAGAGTTCAATCTAGCAGCAAGGTGAAGAATGATCACAGAGGCCTGAGACTGGACAGTTAGACCAGTTAGGAGGCTAATAAAATAGTCAAAGCAAGAGATGACAGGAGCCTAAACCAAAGCAAGAACTGTGCACAAACAGAACCAGAAGAGGGATGTTAGCAGATAGAAAAGACAGAACTTGTTGACTGATAAGCAATGAAAAGAGGTATAAAAAGTAGACGGAACCTCTCCTCACTCTTCAGGGAACAAATGAAGTTTAAGAGGAAGATGACGCGTTTGCTTTAAGACAACTGAGTGGAGTGTCCAGTAGGCAGTGAAGTATATGAGTCTGAGATTCAGGTGAAAGATACAGATTAGACACGTAAGAGTCAGCAAAATAAAAAGTAGTGAATCCTTCTATCTAAGCGCCACTCTTTCTCACGCAAATCTACTGTTCCAGAAATACCGTATGTCTTAATATAGCATATCCTATTTCTACTAACAGAACATGTTATTCTACATATTCTACAACATATTAGATGGTCTTCCTTTCTTAAAAAGATTAAATGCTCCTGTGAATGTACCAAGATGTAATCTCAGAAAAAGCTGGTAATGACAGCCAAATTTCCATCACTTTCTCTTTTGCAGCTCTGAGGGCCAACAGAAGGGCACATGGTTGGAAACACTATCAAGACTACCTTGTAATTTAAAGTCTAAAAAGAGCACCCAGTTTATTTAGTCGAATGTCTAATATGTTATTACTTCTAAGAAAAGTACTCTAAACAGAGTTCTAATGAGAATGCTCACACACTATTCAGCAGGCAGGCATGCAATTTAATTGTCTTTAGTTTAAATGTAGAATTAAACCACAAATTAGGTATCAAAGATTTCAAACTAAGTAAGTTGAGAAAATTTAATTTATATATAATTATCACTCTTAGTACCCTATATTTCATTACCAGGATGTATAAATACAAATAATGATGGCATGCAGGCAAATAAAATTTACAGCCTATATCCATCTACCAACTGACTGTGATGTGAATGTTAGGCGCTGTAAAGTGCACTGTGACCAAGCGCCCTGTGCATCCTCAGACAGAACGATCACATTGAGTCTGCCCACAGCCACCATCTAACAGACTTAAAAGGGCTTCACTTTAGGGTGTAACCCTCCTCCCACCATGTGAGGACACCATGAGAAGGCCCTGTCCACGAGCCGGGAAAGGGGCCCTCACCAGACACTGAATTGGCTGGCACCTTGATTTTGACCTTCTTAGGCTCCCCAGCTATGAGAAACACATGTCTGTTGTTTATAAGCCACTCAGTCTACGGTACTTTATTACAAAAGTCCAAACTGACTAAGACACAAGGCTAGAGGTTAAAGTCTGGTTAATTGCCAGAACTGGTAAATATTTCTCTCTTTTTAATATGTTTATGAAACGGAGAAGCCCTGAAGGTCCCTGGAATTAGCATCAAGCATTAGAGCACTCTGATGATCCTGCTTAGTAGTAACTTGGGAAATTCCTGGAGCAGAAACAATCTCAACACACTCCCGGTGCCAGGCAGATCTCCACAGGGTCCTGGCTGGTCAAATCGACCATCTGAGTCAGGCAGGGCCCTGCCTTTCTTTTTGCCCCCATTAACTCACACCACAGGGCAAGGAACACCTTCACCCCACACAACCACTAATCTGTTCATCAAGGCAAACACTCTCTCCAGACAAGAACAAATGGGTTTCCCTTGACACTTCTTCCAATATGCCTCCTTCCCTGCTTTGCAGACAAGCTGAATTCCTAGAATACAGGGGAATTCAAGAGCTAAAAATTCAACACAAAAATTTTAAAACCGGTTCTTTCAGTTTCTAACAACGAACGTAGTGTAAGATATTCCATTCTGTCTGCTTACGATATAAGTAGAAAAGCATACAAACACACAAGAGCAAAAAGTTATATGTGAAAACACAAGTTTTCAATCTTTCCAAATTTCTCCCATGAACATAAAATATGTCATAGTAAAAACATAAGTTATTTGAAAGCTAAATTTTACACAGGTTACCCACAGTATTTTTCTAAGATGATATAAACAAACTTGAAATAACTTCACTTACTTTCTGCTCAGGGTTCTCCCAAAACACAAGTCCAAAGTAGTCCTTCTCCAAGAGATTGAGATGTTCACACACTCTGTCAAATAACACTTGTCCCTTAGCACGTTTCTGAGGAAAAAGAACAATATCTTTACTTTTCAAGCACTAATGAGTCTGTGAGTACTGTAAACCAAGGGCATCATATCAGATAACATTATTTCGCATAAATTAATATGAAATGTTTATATTCCAATCCTCTTTTATCACAATACCGAAAAGCGATTCCTAACTTTTTCACTTTAGACTCCCCCAACACACACATAAAGCATGAATTCTAAAACGGAAGCACAATCAGCCTCTGTGCTTGACTGTTACTCCATGTCAATATTTCAAAAACTAAAAAAAGTAAAATGCTAAGAGTTCACTTATTCGTTTTTCAAATAGTTCAAAAATAGGTTCAAGCTGCCTCCCTCAGTTCCTCAAGATGGCTCATGTCACGTCTACAAGGTATACTCTCCCCAGGAAAATCATTTAGCTCCATTCCTCAATGTATCCTAACACAATTCATCCCATCAGCACTTAGGTTTGGTGTGTGTGTGTGTGTGTGTGTGTGTGTGTGTGTGTGTGTGTGTGTGTGTGTGTGTGTGTGTGTGTGTGTGTGTGTGTG